ATAAGAAGTGTGAGAATACTTACAAGGGGGGGATAGATTCAATGTTTGTAATGGCTCAGCCATTCCCAGTCCTTATTCAATCCTGAGTTGATTGGGTCTAGTTTGCATATCAATTCCAGCTCAGCAGTCTCTCGTTGGAGTCTGTTTTTGAAGTTTTTCTGTTGTAATATAGCCACCTGCAGGTCTGTCATTGAATGTCCAGACAGGTTAAAGTGTTCTCCCACTGGTTTTTGAGTAGGTCCCCTGCATTGAGTGAGACATTCTTTGCCCTGATCTAGGTTTTGATCTTGGGCTGTTATTTCTGATCATGCCCACCAACTGTCATCACTTGACTCTTTGGGAAATGCTAAACTAAAGTGTCTTTCAGCATGAACCAAAGATTGAAAAAATCTTCATTGTCTTTTTTTGGGGGGGGGGATGGTCAATCCAGAACTCACTTGACAAACTACAAGGCTGGAAAGAGGAATTAATAAGGCCACAATGTGTAGCATTTCTTTTGGTACAAGACTATTTAGATGCTCTTCACTGAAAACATTATAGAACTGTTGATCTTTTAATTTCAGTTATGGCTCAATGGCCATTGATACTATGGGGATGTAGCAGTTTCATTAAGCAGTGCCACTTGATTAGTTATGTCTACCAAACATTTGAACTATAATATATTTAGCCTATTACAGAACTATAAAAACTGTAAGGAAATATCGATTAGGATGTTGCTTAGTCTTATCTTATTCTTTTACCCAACCTATAAGAGTGTGAGCTACATCCTTACAATAAACAGTTACACCCACATTACTATGTCATTAAGTTTAACTCATTTAAGACCAAAAGTAAAATATTCACAATGACAGGGCAGTAGGAATACTTATCTGTAGCAAGAAATTTTATTACTTTGCAGGCAGAATTACAACTAGAACTTTATATGGATGTTTCTCTTCTAATGCCTGTTGCATAGGGTGCAAAACAAATGATAGGTGTGCTTGCCTAGAAAAGTAAATCCTCAAATGCATTTGTTGGGAGCTGTTTCCTGTAACACAGAGTTGGTGAATTTGTTTTGCTTCTTGGGAAACTTGCAGACAATACTTGGCACGAAGACTAATTTTATTCTTTGTAAAATGAATTAATTTCATCTTTGTATTTTTCAAGCACAGCAGGTCGTTTTAATTTCATCGTAGGACCTAAAAAAAAAACCCAACCAAAAAACAAACCAAAGTTGATTACAAGAGGAGAGAGAAATTACAGCAAAGTTTCCTAGCTGGAGGATTAATGAGTCCTAGTACATCATTCCTTCAAAGGGACTGACTAGTAGATGTGCCTGTTGCTTCAATGGCTGATCTCTCATAGGAACTGTAGAATAGCTGGGGCAGAAACAGAAGAGTTCAGTCCAAAGGATTTGTGGACAAAGCAATGTCAGGCTTCATGAGCAGAGGTAACAAAGTAGCTACTTTCCAGTTTAATAATACTTTAAGAGGACTAATTGAGCTTTCTCCCTTAATGCCCTCAGTTAAAGAGCCCTCTCTTACAGCAGGTCTACACTACTGCTTAAGTCAATCTAATTTGTGTTGCTCAGGGGTGTGAAATCCCCCCAAGCGACGCAAGTTATAGCAACCTAAGTGCTGTTCACACCGGCGCTATGTCGGCAGGAGACACTCTCACACTGACATAGCTTCTGCCTCTTGCGGAGATGGATAATATGCTGATGGGAGAGAACTCTCGTCAGCATAGAGCATCTTCACCGGACACACTACAGCATCTATTTATTACAAGAGCTCTGGACTTGACATAACCTGCAGCCATCTGTGCACTTAGCCACAATGGGCTGGAAGTGAGGACACCACATAGTGAGAAAGAATTTGGCCTTGCTTAGGCAGACAAAAACATCTGCACAGTTGCAGTGCTACTAAAGATAGCTGACCTTGGACTGGGTGCCTGTCTCTTAAGTTTTTTGTTGTTGTTGTTGTTGTTGGTTTTTTTTTTTTTTTTTTGTTTGCTAGAGTTGCTTTACTGATAAGAAGAAATTGAGAGTTCTTTGCTGTTGCTAGGGAAACGGTCAGCCCATTAGGGGTTATTTTGAGTTATGCTATGTTTTGAATTACATATAAGAGTTTAGTTAGTGTGTGTACTTTGGAGAAGTTCTTCTGAGAGGATTTCTATGAGTTTGCAGTCTGACATCTACCTCCCCAGCACCTAGGAGGAAGGCCAGCCACCAGAAACCTGCTGCTGTCACTGGATACCACCTCAGACTTCGGGTAACTATATTCTGGGGTGATCTAGGTTATTTCTATTTTAGATGTATGCTTTGTACTCAATAAAAACAAGGATTTTGGGGTGGAAGCATTTGTGTATTTACCAATAATTTATCAGAGGGAGGTGCTGTCCCCCCCACTGATTTGTTTCCTGACACCACCTGGGAAACAGAGATTAGTTACCATAGTTTTGCATTCAAATAATCCTGAGTAACATACTCACAGGGTCTTCTCAAAAACTGCATCTTGCTTTGGGTGAAGTTTTTGTTTGTTTGTTTACTTTTCTCTCTATCCCCTTCTCCCCCAATCTCATGTGATATGCATTAAAGACAGAATCATTATAATACTGAAAGGAGCAAGGAATGTAATAACTCAGCATTACTGTAGCCAGGGCTCAAATGGGAGTTGGGAGATATAGGCTTCCTTCACTCATGGAGGCTGTAGGGGATAGCTAAGTCAAAATGGTTGGAGAGAAGAAACTGAGTATGCCCTCAGCTACACTAGTCAGGAGGGTGGAAGGAAGCAGATGCAGCCATAGCAGATACTGCTATAAAAAAAGGGTCCAATCTCACATGCCTGGGATGCATGTTAAGAGTACAATTGGTGTAGCTAATCATTGATATAAGTACAGAGCCTTGAAGGAGAAGCTTAATTTGAACCTGAGACAAAATGAATCAAGAAACTATTGGAGGGATTTAAGTCAGTGGGATGAGATGTAGTGGACAGGGAAAGTAACTATAGCTACAGTGTGGATGGATTTGAGTGGAAAGAAATTAGACATCAGGGCTGTAGAAGTGGATGCATTATTTCCCAAACAACTACTTCAACTTGCAGTAGGCCCCACTAGATGGGCCCCACAATTCATTTATGCCCAAGACACTTTCTTTAAAAAAAATCAGCTTGGAAAAAGTCATATCTATCTACTTGGTAAACGTGAACCCCATTCCTATAAAGGATACCCCATTGTTATAACCCTATCTGGTTAGAGGAAGGATGACATGCTGTCTGCAGTATTAAAGAAATAGAATTTAATGGATACCACACTGCTATTTTTCTGACATCTCAGTTCAGCCACAAACTAGAATTTGGAATTTTGCTGTTCCGAAATAATGTGGCTAAAGGAATCAAGATCTCAAACTTTTCATCCACCAGCACAGTTCAAATTCACTTGATAGGAAATCATTCTGGTATTGGACAACTGGCACGTGACTTTGGCACTTTTTAAATTTTTACTCCTAGATAGTATCCAAGATGCTGCTCAAGGCAAAGATTATAACCTGGAAGAAACTAACACTGACAAAAACAAGCCCCCCACAAGTATATTAGCCTACCACCTTTGACATGTTCCCTTTCTTCCTTTACTAGAGGTTCTGTGTATTTGGCAACAGTGTAAATCTTTCATACAATATGTGACACAGGGTCAGAAAGGCTTAAGTATCCTGCAGGATAAATGACCCAAATTCAACCTTTAGACTGAGACATGTTAGAAAAGTATGTAAATGGTAATTAGGGCCACTCTCTGTCAGACGGGCTAGAACTCTGAAATGCAAACCTGTATTGTTAGAAATTAGAGGTGATACTAATTGTGTGTGTGTACTTATATCTTGTTAGAGGTTAACAGTGTAACCAAATGGTTCCTATCTATGCTGTATTCTGTTAATTCAGAGATCAAAAGGAGATCTTAACATTCAAATGAACTGTAAACATAATAATATTACTGTATTAATCTCTCTTTGAAGGATATAACAAATCGCCTGTGAATGTTGGAAAACAGGCAATTGCCTTATGTTAATCCATGTAGCTAATTACCAATGATGCTTAGGAAACAGGTCTACTTCAAAGTCTCTATGATTGCCTATTGTTCACCTAAGGACTCCATGCTGTCAAGAGAAGGCCTGAAACTACAATGCTCATAATCTCTAATAGAAAACTGATCTCAGAATGGTACTCATGTCTGTATGTATACTGATCTTTTAACCCAGGGCAGCCAACCTGAGCCTGAGAAGGAGCAGAATTTACCAATGTACATTGACAAAGAGCCACACTAATATGTCAGCAGCCTCCCAGCAGCTCCCCGCACTCCAACCTGCAGCGCCTCCTGCCCGCCGGCAGCCCCACCAATCAGTGCCTCCCGCTCCCTCCCCATGCCTCCCGACCACTGCAATCAGGTGTTACGCAGTGCACAGGAGGCTCTGGTGGGGGAGGAGGGGAGGGTTGAGCGAGGGCATGGCAAGCTCAGGGGAAGGGGTGGAGTGGGGTCAGGGCCAGGGGCAGAGCAGGGGGTTGAGCACTGAGCAGTCCTCAGCACACTGGAAAGTTAGCACCTATAGCTCTAGCCCCGGAGTCAGTGCCTATGCAAGGAGCCACATATTAACTTATGAAGAGCCGCATGCGGCTCTGGGGCCATAGGCTGGCCACCCCTGTTGTAACCAATACTTCCTTTTTAAATACATTTTAGTTTAGTTAATAAAGATTGGCTGTAAGCGTGTATTTGGGGAAGATCTGGGAGGTAATGTGTCTGATCTTTTGGGATTGGTAGAACTTTCTTATATGATGAATAAGATTTTCAGTAATCCCCATCATATTTGACTTGGGTGTCTCAGTGGAGGCCTAAGGCTGGGTTACTTTAAGGGAACTGTGTTGTTGGCTTGTGGGTAACCAGTGAGGTATTATAGAAGCTGTTTTGTGCTGGCTTGGTAAATCTAAGTATTGGATTATCCACCAGCTTTGGGGATTGCCTGCCCCATTCTTTGCAGTTTGCCCGAATTGAGTAACCTCAGTGTGGCTCCCCTGGGATCCCGGTCACACAATACATCTTTAAATACTTCCAGGAGTCCACATAAATATTCTGTATTTCATTAGTTAGAAGTTAAAGTTGCTGAAGCAAGAAACTAGAACATCTTTCACCAACAGATCTTTAATTATTGCTCATAATTTTCCCTCCCCACAAAAGACAGGCTCTGGCTGCCAAATGACCTTGATTTCCTGGTTAATTTTTATGCAAGGTTTACAATAAGATTTTGTTTTCTCTGATTAAACTGACTTCATTGGACCATCTTCTAAAAAGAGAAAAAGCTGTGGACACAATTAACGGTTATTAAGTAGGTTGGCATATAGATTATATAATTTTTTTTGTATTTTTGATTCTTTCACCGACACCAGAATTGTAGGACTTCTTAATTTTAAAAAAACTGAACAAAGATAACTTATTAGTATGTTATATGAAGGTTTTTATGAAGCTCCCATATTTCACAAACCATAGTTTAAATTTCAAGTTGTAATATGATTTGATTTTATCTTGGAGTGGTTGAGATCCCTAAGATTGTATCAATATCATTGTTCTGTAATCTGACAGTGTGAATTGCTATCAGATAATTGCCACTTGTTTGGGAAGAGCTATATAACTCCCAGCTCCACCATTCCTGAGAAATAGTCATCCCAATCTTACAGTACTCCACACCCCTCCTGTATTCACTAAGTATCTCAGTATAGATTAGTATGCAGAGGTCTTACCAAATTCTCCACCAGAAATGGAGAAATCTCTTTCCAGGACTGTCCATTTCTGAATATGCTGAACACTGGCTGTGGACTTCATGTTGACTCTATCGATTCCTTCTTGAATGGCCTGGTAAACAGCCTGATCTCTTGTTGCCACAATCTCTGACACTTTAGTGGCTTTGCTGCCAATTTTCTGGCAGAATTCTCTGGCTTGCTCACTCAGATTGTCAGTAGGATCGGATGTTTCTGGGTCCAGAGTACTCTACAATATCAAGTGACAGAGTTTCAGTATTAATGGCTTGCTTCTATAGGGCACTAAGTGTCCTCAATCCCCACTCAAATCAGTGGAATTTGAGGGCAGCTCAAAATATCAAAACTTAAGTGAAACAGTCCAAACTGCAGTCCTAAGTCTACAAAATGGGACCATTTGTAGACTGTTGCTAGATAAGATAGTTTGTCAATTTGGCCACATAATGCGAACATGCTGGCTAATATGTGATCGTCATGTACGTGATGTTATCACATTTGAAACATGTCAAAATATTTAACATAGAAAAAGCTCTGTATATGCTTTGAATAAGTTACCACTGTGGGTGTGTCTACATTGCATTAAAAGTCCTGGCCTGGGTCAGCTGACTCGGGCTTGCAGGGCTCAGGCTGCAGGGCTATGAAACTTCAGTGTAGACATTTGGGCTTGGGCTGGAGCCCAGCTTTGACACCCTGTGAGGGAGAGGGAGTCGCACGCCCTGGGCTTGAGCCCAAGCCCAAACCTCTACACTGCTATTTTTAACCCTGCAGCCCAAGCCCTGGAGCCCAAGTCAGCTGATCTAGGCTCTCAGACTGGGTGCTGTGGGTTTTTTATCACACTGTAGACATACCCTGTGTTTTTCCAAATCAATTGCATTGTTATTTCAAGAAATGTATTCAAGATGCTATTTACAAAATAGATTACTGAAAATTGTATAGTTCTGTTTGATCTCTCAAGTCAGGGCTGCTGTTTAAAATTAGAAAAAATATTTTTTTTATACTTGGTGGTGGGGAGGAATCAGTGACAGAGATAATAAATGTAAAGGGTGACTAAAGCTGGGACACCAGAGACAAGAAGTTTTATATAATAATATACTGGGCCCTTGTTTTCATTCTGTTACTATAATATTTGCATTTTAACAAAGGATGATCTTTCCGTTGGGCTTGATCCTGTAGCTCAGCTATTCATAATCTTGTTCCTAAATTCATTCTTAGATTTCTTCCCTAAAGGAACAAATAGGTGGAAAATAGGGTCTGTGAGAAAGCAAACATTCTCTGTCTTAAGCATAAATTGTAATGAGCAAACATGGCCAAAAAAGCCTCTTGTGTAAATAGCTATGAAACTGTTGCCTTTGGTTTTTTATGTATTGAGACTTTAAACTTCTAAGGACTCTGCCTGTCCAGAGTGACAACAGCTGGTATAGAGAAGGCAAATGCTGTACTCTCTCATGGAGACTTCACTTCTGCTCTTTCAGGTTTTTCTTAATGAAAGTGAATTTGAATTTTAGACTGAAAGTAAGTCATGTTTTGTTTATGGAAGAATATTAGAAATGAATGTGAAGTATTTCTTCTTCTATATAGCATAAGGGCCAAATCCTGCTTGTTCACAGCAAATCTACCCATGTGAGTAAAGCCAGCACACTTTGCTCTGTAATTTGAACATTTTTCCCAATGTGGAACCACACACACACACACACATATTTGGAAGGTTTAAGATCTCAACAGTAAAAGTAGTTTACCTTTAAGGTCAGCAACATTGATAAGAACTTCTTTTGATCTCCAATCAACATAGCATTGCTAACAATGGGCAATTCCTTTTTGACCTCATCTTCAATTGGGATCGGAGGCACATTTTCACCTCCAGCTGTAATAATTAACTCTAGGCATAAAAAGAAACTTATTAGTTGAATTCAAATAATTTCCTCACAGCTATCTAAGGGGTGGGCTGAACCATTTATCACATTCCTGCTAATAGAAGATACCAGGAATACCAATAGCTTTCAAAGAGAACAAAACTTGTTTAGATGTGAAAATTAACCTTCCTGAAAGACAGATATATCCTTTGCAATATCCCTAGAGGGCGCTCTCTCTCTCTCTAATAAACATACACTACTGTGCATACAAAGCAAAACCCTTTATACCAGACTGCAGATAACCTAAACTCTTGGTTAACTGAAGATTAATTATGATTCTCGAGGAGGTGTTACTGATAACGTGGGCTTTTCAGCAGTTAGGCTCCCTTCAGTGCTATCTGGCATTCATTCTCTTTGTGCTCTAGTGTTGCTAAGCTGCGAAAAGCCCTTTCACAGCAGTCACCATAATAAAAAGCAATCTTAAAACCACCAAGAGGGGGCAGGCCAGCACAAGCAAGCACATGGAGAGGGATCTTAAGAAGAAGCAGATCGGCACAGAACAGCCAGGGACTAAGGCAGTCCAGAGTAGGACTGGATGAATAATGGATTTCTTGGTTTGCAACCAATTAAATAAATAATAATTAATAATTGTTTAGGGTCAAATGAACAACTAAATGTTTTGAAATTTTCAGCGAATCAAGACAAAATGTCATTCCATTCTGAACATTTCGTTTCTTTCAAAATCAGAATGATTTGTTTTGTTTTTGACCATTTTAAAATGTTTTTGATTAGTTTTATTTGAAAAACAAAGGACATTTTAAAGTAAACAGTCATTTCAAATTTTAAAAAATGATTTTAAAAAAGTCTGTGACATGGCCAGAAAGGGTTAAGTAGCTTGCAGGCTAAATGACCCAGGGTCAACCTTTAGAGACAGGTTAGATAGGCTAGAACTTTGAAATGCAAACCTGTATTGTTAGAAAATTAGAGGTGATACTATTTGTATGTGTTTACTTATATCTTGTTAGATGTTAGCCATGTAAACAGACAGTTCCTGTCTATCACTATAGCTATTGATTCAGCGATCAAAGGGAATATTAACATTTAGACGAATCTTGGGTGAAATAATGTCATTGTCTATATGTCCCTTTAAAGTTTGTGGTAAAATGTATATGAACTGTTTAATGGATTAATTACCTTATGTTAATCCATGTAGTTGATTACGTGATGTTTGGGAAACAGAAGGTTACATTAAAAGCCTATTGTTCACCCAGGATTGTATGGTCAAGAAGCTGCTAGAAAACTGTTTAAAAGACTCTTGGGAACTGATCCTTTCATCTCAGATCTGCTTGATGCTTTATGCAGGGGAAGCTTGAGTCGTAAGACTTAGATCTCAAGTCCTTCTGAATCACCCTAAATATGAACATTGGACTAAACCTATGGACTAATTCTGAAAGAACTCTTTGCAGCTACAAAGCTCAGCATCTCTACTATGAATCTGATCTCAGAACTGTACTCATGTCTGTATGTATACTGAACTTTTAACCAATACTCACTCTCTTTTCTTTTTTAATAACTTTTAGTTTAGTTAATAAGAATTGGCTGTAAGCCTGTATTTGGATAAGATCTGAAATAGTCCTTAACCTGGGAGGTAATGTGTCCGATCTCACTTTCTTATATGATGAATAAGATTTTTAGTAATCTTCATCATATTTGACTTGGGTGTTGGGTGGGTTAATTTAAGGTAACTGTATTTTGGCTTCTGGGTAACCAGTAAGATATTATAGAAGCTGTTTGAGGCTAACTTGGTGGATCTAAGTACTGGAATGACCACCAGCTTTGGGGATTGTCTGCTCCATTCTTTACATTTAATTAAGTAACCTCAGTGTGGGTCCCCTGGGACCCCAGTCATAGAGTTCATAAAATGTTTTGATTTTTTCAGCATTTGGGGGTGGGGAAGGTTGACCAAAACAATTTGCCAAACTTGACAAAATTCACAGAATGTTTGTGTAGCAAATCTGTATCCTTCACAGAAAACAAAGTTTTGACTGAAAAATTGCACCCAACTCTAGTCCAGAGGACCAGGAGGGTGGTGCCTACCTTCAGAGTCTGTCTAAAAATAACTTTAAAAATACCAAACAAATGCATCATTCTTGTGCTATTTTGCTGATTCCTCTTGATAAGGAAGGAGTGTGCATTTTTATTTGAATGTCTGTCAATTAAAGTAAAATTCTTTGACTATTACAATTCTTAATACTTTGCACCATCCCGTAAGCAAACTACGAGTGCTCCACTGCATTAAATTTGTGTCCTCTGCCTGTGCCTAAAATAAAATATGTCCTTTTAAATATATAAAACATTTTAAGAAATAATGTACTCTGTACAGAACAGTGCAGACAAATGGACTTATGTGTACTATTGTAACTGAACGTCATACATTAAGGGACCTGATCCTGGAAACACTTATATGGAAGTACTCAACTTTGCTTACATACTTCCATTGAAGTCAATGGTACTATTGCTGCACATGAAGGTAAGCAACTGTAAGTATTTGCTGAATCAGTTTCTTAGTTGCCAGTAACATATTCAATATTAACTAAGAGGCTTCTTGTCTGTATTTTAATTTGGTTCTTTGCCAAAATCTGTGGTATTGAATACAATAAGATGATAGAAACTTGACTGTTTCAGTGGAATTATGTTTTTCTAGATTATCAGAATTTGCATATTGAGTAGATATTAAGTCTGGCAAACAGATTAGTCTAAGAAGGAAACAGAGGAAATGAGAAGGAAAGAAAAGGTTATGGAAAACTGACGTGTCTTGTTTCTTACAAGAAACACTAGATTGTCTGACTTGTGTGCTGTGTTATGGTAAAACTACCATTTGGTAGTGAGTTGTGAGCTAGGGAGAAAGTAGAATAGGGAGGAGAAAGAGGCGACCTCTGAGGTTCAGTGTTTACTTTTAAACCAGCTTATTGCTCCTTACACACCGTCTCTGAGATATCCGATACGTCATGGATCAGCATTTCTTTCAAACTCCCTAGCCGCGATAATCTGGTGTCTCAGTGTTTTAATACTCTGAGATACAAAAATAGTTATCTTTAGCAAGTTTTTTAAAAACTTGAATGGGGGAAAGCTTAACAAAGGTAGCACAATTCAATAGCTTAGTGCCTGATCCCATTTGTTACTGAGCTTTATTCAATTCAGTGGCACTTGAGGGAACTCAGGGGAAATTGTTACTCACAGGTTTGGGTCCTAACTTCACTAGTGTTCAGGCTCAGCTTTAGAGGCTATAGGGTCTATTATATACTTTCCCTGCCCGTGTGTGTTTTATATACAATAGCCAGCGGCTAAATCCACATAAACTGGCACAGGCAATACTGCACAATTATTTTCCTGGATAATATGATGTGTGTACAGAATTATTTTATGAAGTACAATTTATATTTCTAGGATGAGAGATTACACTATGCTTTATCATATCTTAAATGTATGGCTACCCCTCCACAAATCAGACGTTGATCTAAACCTTAGAGATTTCCTCCTCCTCAACTTTTCACTCAACTTTTCCAAACCCACCAGAGCCCCTGTAATTTTATAACTGCTTCTGCCCCACCCACAATGAGGTTCCATTAAGGGGGTTCTCTTATCTAGCTGTCTCTGACATGTGACTATTCAAATCTTAAGAGCTACTCTGGGTCAGAGATATCACAAAACAGCATAATTTGTCCCTCTCATCCTTGATGCATTGAAAGTCCTGCGAGAACTCATGAGAACTGAAGACACCAGCCAGACCTGCTGAGATGGATTTCAGCAAATGGAGGAGAGATGATGGGGGGAGGGGGGATTTATCTGACCTTCCAACATATTTTAAATGGTTTAGACTTGGGTTTGAAGTTTGCATGGAAATTCAGGCAGTATTTATTTTATCCAAACTGGCTCACTTAGCCTTAATTTATCTTTAATGTACAGTGTTTATTTATTTTTTAAATGGCACTCCCATCACTGAAGGTATAAGTGCAATGCAAACATTAAGATAATCAAACTGGGCCACTTTGTTAAAGAATAACAATGGGGGGAAAGGAAAAGTAACCAGAAAAGGAAAAGGCAGAGAATTAAGGGAGGCCAAAATGATCACATTCAGTGCAGGCTAATTATACATCTAATAAAGCCCTGCAGGACTGACTGCACATGGTAATGTTATCCTGTTACAAATTCACCAGCAAGTGCATCTACTTCCCTCCTGATTCATCTTGTCTTCTGGGGTTACAGTTACTCATTACACAAGATAGTTTAGGAAGCATCTGAACTGTGACCAAATATCTCCCTTCTGAGTATGTATCTTGGAAGAGAGCATCCAGGCAAACAAATTACCGAAACCTTCCCATGGCAACATTTCAAACAAAATACTGTCACCAGACCCAACTATTCCTCTTTGTTTTAACTTATCCTTCTACCCTCAAAAATTAGGAGGGTATTGTTCAAATGATCTGGAAACGCGGAGCTTACAGCCATCTCAGATGTCCAGCTCCCACATGGCAGTAAGGGTACAATGAGTTTTCCTATTTCATTAGGCACCCTCTTCTAGCATGTAGCCCCATGACTCATAACTTAATACAAAACATAGTGATTGTCTAACATTATTGTCTGAATATTTTGATCAGTAAGTAAGGCAAAAGACCTAGCAAGATTCAAATCGGGATTGAACATTTACATGGATAACAAAATATCCAGAATTATTGTTAATGCTAACAAAATGAATATTGGAAGGCAGATGAAATCTCATGTTGCAATGCTTAAGCCAATCTCGAAGGATGAAACCTTCCTGGGAGCAGATTCTCTCACATCTACTTATTGTGAGGTTTCCTCTGAAGCACTTGGCACTGGAGTTGGAGACACTCAACCAGATGGACCACAAGCCTGATCCAATAAGACATTCCTATGTGCTTATCTGTTGTATGACTGAACAACACTGAATAGTTACTTTAAAATGTTGGGAGGAGACTGCTTTTTACCTTTAATTCTTCCAGTAACATAGAGGAAGCCGTCCTTGTCTAGTCTTCCTACGTCTCCAGAATGCAACCACCCATCATCATCAATGACTTCTTTTGTTTTATCCTCCATATTTAAATAACCCATGAAAACAGTTCTTCCCCAGAAACAAATTTCTCCATTGCCGTCTGCATCCTCATTCACCAGTTTCACTTTGCAGCCAGGCACTGCTTTGCCACAGCTACAAGGGAACAAGAAGGAAAAGATTCATATGGAATGCTAGAAAAGCCAGATAAAATATAGAGCGAACCTTTACAATATCTCATCTCAAAGACCTTGAGAAGGTATAAACAAACACATTCCCATCATTGTTAGAAAGTTACGGGACAGAATCTCAGCTGATGTAAAGCAGCAGTGTAAGTGGAGTTCTGCACATTTATACCAGCTGAGGATTTTGCCCTGTGTTGCTATTTAAGTGGACTTTTTGTTTCTTCTGGAGCATTAAAACACTTCTCTGTTTGAAATTTCACATTTACACATTATTCCCTCTTAAGTAGGCCAGCCCTTCGGTTTAATAGTTGTGCTCTGCACAGCATGCAAGAGACTGAGTTTGACTGATACCCTGGGCCAAAGTGTGGTGGAAGCAACATGCTCAGCTTCTGGCATGAAGATTGTCTTGAGCTGGAACACAGAGCCTTGAAGATGGGAAGTAAAGGAAAGAACAAAGAGAACCAAATCTCCCAAGTCTCAGTCCAGCACTATATCCACTAGACAACACCGCCTCTCAAGTTCAAGGCTCAATGGACACCGTATCAAAGTGAATCTAAATTTTACAGTAAAGCAACCTGGAAATACTGTAGCAGCTTTTCATACATTAAAAATAGAGCATTTTACTGAATTACATATATATTTGATATTCAATTCATTCTGTCTTTTCCCAATTTTCTGTTTTCAATTTGTTGCAGACTTTTGTAGTAAAAATGCATAAATATGTGGTAGAAATTGACAAGGGTGAAACTAGAAGTTTTAGCAGCTGGGTCCAGTGCAATAAGGGCTTTTGCCACCTAAGTAGATGTGGGAGGCAATGAAGCAGTTAACAGTCTCAATGTTGGAATTGTGCCTCTTTAAATTAATCAGTAGGAGGGTGAGAATTAATAGTCTGGAGAAACTACAGAGTACTTGATAGTTGTGTGGATATACATTAGCCAGAGATATAAATAATTAAGAATGCAGACTATCAGCTCCAGATTTTTTCTGAATTCGCTGATGTACTACATTGTTGCACACAACTTGACTGCACTCATCTCTTCTTGACAGATGCTAAAGAACATATCTGCTTTGGGATCTGATATCTGCTAGTAATTTGTATATCAAAAGCCTGATTCTGTATTCACTGTACACTCAATTTCTCTTGGGCCCCAAAGAGGCAACAAAAATGTATAGCAGTGCTGCATTTGGACTGAAACTTTCCTGAAGTCTGATATTTGTATGCTAGTGAACATCATATCAGACAGAATATCCAGAGTATTGGCATCTTGGAACATTTATACTAGATTTTTTTCAGAGCACAACTGATTCTTCATTCTACCACTATTGCATCAATGTCCTTTTCCACAACTTGCTCAACACTGCTGTATACTAGAGCTGGACCAAACCCTCTAAAAATCACAGCATCCTTTGTGAAATCACGGCATTTGTAGTGCTAGAATATTAATGCCATCGCCTGGATGAAAAGAAAACATGACAGGAAAGGGGAGAGAATTGGAGAATTGACAGAAGCAGAAAATTGTTGCAGATTAAAAAGTACAAAAAACACACAGTCAAGGTAATTTCATACTTTTGAAAATAATTTCTTATTGTTTATAATACTGGTTATAAGAGAAAAGAACTCTTGGAGAGTCACTCCACATTCATTCTAATCTTTCATTTACATTTAGGATAATTGGTTGGAAAAATAAGGTTCTAGGAAGGCACCTAGTTCACTAAATCACTCAGCAGCATAAATGACACAGGAATGAATTCCATAATCTCGCGTGAAATCTGATCAATCAGGCTTTGCGTAGCTGCCCTGTTCAGGAAGTGGAGGGAAAAATGCACCCTGATCCAGGGCAGTCTCACCCTTTTCTCTGCCTATATAAGGTTCCTGGCCAACTGAACCTGGGAAGAAAGACCCAGTAGCTTCTTCCACTGTCCAGCCCAACACTCTTTTCTGTATCAACATATTCAGGGCTGGTCTGCTCACGTCCTGGGCCTGCAGCCCCTATACAATCATTCTACTCAGGTGCCTCAAAGGTTGGGCAAGGGTTTGGGGTGAAGGACGAGTACCACCTATCAAACTTTTGTAAAGCTAGTACAGCAAACCATGTGTTA